CTCAACTTACAACCACAATTGAGTCCAATTGTGTAAGTAAGGCAGTTGTTAAGAGAGTCATACCCCATTTGACCATTTTTGCCATGGTTGTTAAAAATCACTGCAGGTAAGTGAATCATGCAGTCATGATGCAAACCTAGGAAGGTTGCAAATGACAATTCCAGAACCCCAGAATGCTGCATCCATTGTAAATACATGCTAGTTGCCAAGCACCCAAAGTCTAATCGAATGACTATGGGGATGCTGTAATGGTTATAAGTGGTTATAAGTCACTTTTTTCAGTCTGTTGTAACTTTGAATTGTCATTAAGCAAACAGACTACTCGTAAAGTGAATTATCTATGAAGTTGCTTACCTTAAATGCACTGCAATTGCCTTCAAGAGTATTCCTTCATTACAAGCACATCTAGGTATGAAATATTGGTTGAACCAAGTGGTCGTTAAGTGAGATGCCACAAACCACCTCAATCAATGACTGCAATCTCAACTCTCCCATTTGCAGTCATTAAGTGGAGCACTGGAGAAGGAGAGTCCTGGCCTTCCAGATGTGATGGGGTGGAGATAATTCCTGGGCCTCCCACTATATCTAGGAGTCCCGAACCCTCTCTTTGCCCCCACCAGGAAAAACAACTGTAAGAATGCTGGCTACTGGAAATCCCTCAGTGAAACAGACCTCAATTTGGCAAAAAAGACAGCAAATGCCAGGTAGCGCAGAAGAGACATAATCAGAACATTCCGCTTTTCCGTCTGCCTGCCAGCTGATCATCAAAAAAGCTGTTCTATCCGCGGGCTTGAGCTAGCAGCTCTTCACGCAGGACAGTTTGGCAATTTATACTTCCATGCTGGCTGCCAGCGGGCTCAAGCCAACAACCCTTCACGCTGAGCAGCCCCTGAAACTTATTCTCAGAATGGCGCTGGCTGCTCACAACCATTACTTTCTGTGACAGCCAACCTCCTCCGAATGGCGCCAGTTGACAGCGGCCTCAAGCCGAAGGCCCTGCACACTGTTAGCCATCAAAAAGGCTGAGATCCGATTGTATTGTCTCTGCAGGAGCGGCTAAGAGACGGCCAATTGGATCAACTCTCTGACAGCTTGGGATAGAATCCAGGCAAAGAAGAAAAAGACTCTGCCAAGGAATCCCAATTAGGAGCTATCCAAACCACGACTACTTAAGTGTTAGACTGAGTCGAAACTAGGGAATGTTAGCAAGGGGTGTGTCCTCTGTTTTTGAACTCAGTCTAACGAGCAGCGTGACAGGAATCATCCCCATGCCTGGATTTTATCACTACCACAATGGAGAATCCCAGTGTTCTGAGCCTTTCAAAATACTAGCTCAACAGGGGAAAACACTAGGGAACATCAATGCTCTGAACTTTATAGAGATTAATTTGTGAACTTGCATTACTAATTTTAATTGTTTTAACTTTTTGTGTTCAATTTTATAAACAGCTAAGTGTCTTTGTGGAATTGGTGGTATTTAAACAATGTAAATAATAAATAAACTTTGTTTATATTAATGGGGAGGCTAACACAAACACTTATAGGTAATCTTCAATGTACAAGTGGTCATTCATTGATGACAGCCTTACAAAAAGTGACTCAGGACTAGCCATCAAAATTATAATCCCTGCACCATCCTGTGGTCACATGATTGCAATCTGAGGGCTTAGCAACTGGGGTATTTTTGACAGCTGCAACATCTTGCGGTCAATGTGATGGCAATTTGCCACATTCCCAGTCATTCTTCCAACAAGCAAAGACAACTGGGGAAGACAGATTCACTTAACAACTGTGAGATTCACCTAGTAGGTACCATGTGATTTGCTGAACAATTTTGGTAAAAACGATTGTAAAATTGGGTCCTTCTTGTGATGACTCATTTAATAACCACATCACATAGTGACCAAAATTCCAGTCCTAATTCTGGTCATAAAGCTGAGAACTCGCTGTTTTTAGAATTAAGCCATAATTAAGCCAGTTGCTTAATCTGATTTTGTCTCTAATCAAAAATAAAAATCACCACACAGACCTATGCATGATTCAAACCATACCTACAACTGAAAATTGGAACCACCACATTGTTTTTGTGCAAGTAGCTTATAGAGGCTAAAAATATACTCACCTGATTCAGTTTTTAGAATTTTTTTTAGTTAAGCAAGCTTTTGAAATATGATAAACCACAAAAACAAATTCTATAATGATATATAAATGGACTAATTTAACAGTATGGCTCAAAAAATGCCCTAATCCTATTCAGATACACATCTGAGAGTTGTTTTTTTTAAATGCTGATATAGCTCACTAAAATTTATCTTTAACTATTGCACTTTATAAAGTATGTGTATGTATAGGTGTTAAAATTTCCCATACCTTAGAGGAGATTATTCTGTTTTCTGCAAACTTCTGAGGAACATAATGGCCATGCTGAGGAAAACGATTTGCAATATAAATAGTTCGATTATCACTCTGATGTGGTGGGTCAAAACCCTGAAAAAAACACCAAGAACATTATATCATTGATAGTTGCATCTCAATATTTATAGTACATTTTAAATCTTGATATTCTCACAATAATTCTGAAAAATTCCTTATTCTTGGTGAAAGAGGTGAAAAACAAACAAAATACTTACAAAGAAACAAAAAGTAGTTATTTATTTGTATCCTGCCTTTATTCTTTTTAGAAAACTTAAGGTGATGATCATATCCAACAAACCTTCCTCATCTTATTTTCCCCAAAACACCAATCCTGTGAGGTGGGTTGAACTGAGAGAACTCATGGTCTCTTGCTTTCTAGCCTGGTGCCTTAACCACTAAACTAAACAGACTCTACCTACCAACCTATCTATCTACCTACCTGTCTATCAGTATCTAGTCACCCAGCAGGGCCATCCATTGCAGTTGGAAATTATGCCTTCAGTCAAACTGCCTACTAGATTCTCAGGAAAACAAATGCTCCCTCTGAAACCCACAGGGAGCATTAGTCACCTGGGGTAGACTGATCAAATCGGTACTATATCCTTGCAAGGAAAAGCAGAGGCAGCACCACCATAGTGAAAAGCAACCATAAAATGTTCTGACTTGGACTGAGGTGAATGTCCTCAACCTCCTATCATGTTGCAAATGCCCTGAGAGAAAAACCAGTGTGTGATAACCTCCTGAGACACCCCAGATTCTATGCCACATGAAGACCAAGTTAAAATCTCCCAGTGCTGCTGTATCTTAAGACTCCACTGCAAGTGCAGTAACTGAGACAAGCAGCCCCGTTAAGATATCACTGTACAGCAGGAAAACTGGTATAACAGCTAAAAATATAAATGGTCTCTAGAGCTCAACTTCACCGTAGATGGTCCAACATCTGCAATGCAGAACCTCAGCCTTACATCTGCCCTAAAACTGTAATAATTGGTGACAAACTAAAAACCCAGTAAATATTGTAAACCCCCCCAAAGTTGGGGTTTTGCAAATGACTACAGACTGGAGCTTGGGTGAAAACTTAACACAGCACTTTATTATATCCTCACACACTCCCCAATGTGAAGTTATTGCCTTGGCTGAGCAGGGTTAACTCTTTCCTCCTGGTCCTTATGACTTGGCTTAGCCAGATAAGCAAGCTTTTGGAAATCAATCCTTACTGTTCTTGAAGTGTCAGATAGTCCTTGTTTCCATCCAAAAATTCTTGCACTCATTGGATATGCTGCCTCAGCGTGGCTACACCTTTTGTAAATACAGTCGCATAGCAAAGTCGCTGCCAAGTTCCTGGCTAGGTTTCAAGCTCTGTTCTAAGAAATGTTGCTGTTGAGCACCCAAGTTGAGCTCCAGGCAGAGAGCAAGCAGGGTTGACTGCTTTCCATGGTCGTGGTCCTCCTGGCAGTTGGATAGGAGCCCTATTTGTAACCTGTAGCTGTTGCCCAGATGTCACTTCCCATTTCCTCATCTATGTGATGCATCTTCCTCTTCTTTCGCTTGTCATATACTCTCTGGGTAGATTCCCCTTTTCTGAGCTGAGGGACTGAGTGGAGTAGGTGGGCTAACCTGGCTACCTATGGACATCAGCATGTCTTTGAAAAGGTCAGAGTGTCACTCAATTAGCCGGCTGTGGAGGCTGTTGTGCCAAACAGCTTGGTATGGCCAACGGACTAGATGAAATACCATTGTGGGAATCTGTAGGGGAAAATCTCTGCAGCTCAGTCTGCCTCACTAAGCAGGCTGGTGGGGAGGGGTAGATTAAGTGCTTCTCCCTCAGGTTTCCTGGTACAGCCTGACCCTCATAACTCTTTTGAAATGGGAAGGAGGGATGAGCTAAATCTAGCCTTGGAATGAGGTGCCTGTTTCTACCTGCCAGGGTTACTCCCATCAATATTTTCCAAGGTACAGCTACGCTCCCTTTTTTTCTCATAGCATATCTCAGAGATGGGAACACTCATATCTGAGATTATCCAGATCTCAGATGAGGAACCTCTTGGCATTTAATAGCAGGGGATATTTGGTGGAAGAACAAGTATATTGTCATTAGGTGAAATTCGTCCCTGGCAAACAGCTTGTCTTGAAACAAAACTGTTGGTTTCCCCTCAAAGCTCATGAAAGGTAGGAACCATGGGAAATGGTGCAGGTGGTGTGTGATAAAAGGGAAGCTAAATGGAAGAAGGAAAATACGTGTGTAAGATTGAAATTAACAGCTGGAGTGATAGTGATCTAATGCAGAGTACATAAAAGGAACTAAAAATTTTCAGATCTCTTGCTCAAACCTGACGCTTCTGAGAAAATACCACCAAGCTGCTAACACCATAGAACTTTCCGGTCTTGTGTTTTTCAAAACAACTTTTAGTATCTGATAGTATAAGGAAGGCGGTAGGAGAAAACCACCCAAAAAGGTGATCTCTCTTCTTCTTGCTTGCTTTTGTCAATATATTGTACCTAAGTACCAAACTATTCTTCCTCCTTGCAGTGCATAGAAAAGAAGAAACTGTGACCGACTGGTTCGGGGTCTTCTATTGCTAGGACTCTCAAGTATATGGACAGGGTTACTGTGACTGTAAATATCTCCCTTGATGTTTCCCAAGCTCCCTGCCCCATCTGAATCTACAAAAATAAATAAAATGGTGAACTGTCAAGCCAGTGACAATTTAAAGACCGAAGCGAAGTCCAAGCTTCTTTACATCAAACAGCTCTTATAAACTTTTCTAAAAAATAAAAACAATTGCAGTGATTGTAGGATAAAAAGGAAGGGTGGTGGCTGACTGCAATCCAAGTTCTCCTTTTCCTCAAGTTCTCCGATGGAAGAATTGGATTTGGCAGAGAAACACGCCCCAAAGAGCCAAAAAATAAAGAAAGTCATATACTCTTTTCATTATGCTTCAAGATCTCATGATTTCCAACTTTATTATAACATAGAGCCAAATATCAAAATAACTTCACTCATCTGACCAAGAGTCCATTGCTTGTGCAGCCTTGTACAATATAGCTCATAAAAAACTCATACAAAGTTGTGCCCATATTATTTTACAGAACTTTTCCAATTAATAACTCTTGATTGTTTCATCAGCAACATTGTTAGTCCTAAAGAACATCAATGGAGCCTGGAGCACATTTTCCCCTGTCAAGCAAATGTACTTGCTTAGCAACAGAATCAGTAGATAATGCCACCAGCCCCCAAATGTCTGCTTCCCATACATTTTCACAAAGCTATAAGAAATATCTAAGGTAGGGATTTATAGGCAGTAATACTAAGGAATCTGTTTTTTTTTCCAGAGTGAAAGTGGAAAGTAGCAGTAAAAATCTAGATGAAGTGAAAGTTGTAAGAAGTGCCAGAGAAGGATCAAATTTTCCTCTTTCCAAACCCTGCCATATTTTCCCAATGTTATTTCTTTCTGCAGAATTAAGCATTCACTGTCTTCTGATCCAATGACATCTAAATTACAATTAGAGTAGACTTCTTCCATAGGGTAAAAGCGAAGAATACACAGACATTGATAAAATCAGAAGTCTGCACTGACACCATTGAGTCCAACCTTCCCCTAAGAGCTGCAATCCAAATGAATACAATAATTAAAAACAAACTTTAAATTCATTTGTAATTAATTGTAATTGTTGCATGGTGAACTGAAACAAGTTAAAGTTTCCTTACATTTATACAGTTAGGAACAGAATATTTAGGATCCAGTGCTGAACAGCACAGAACTTCTCTAAACTTTCTGTAACTAAGTAATGAATAAATTGAACATATAATGAGGCACAAATGGCTCCTATTATATACTTTAGACACATTATGCAAAGACTCAGCTCTTCGGAAAAGATTCTGATGCTGTGAAAGGCAGACAAAAAAAGAAGACTACAACCAGGAGCAAGGATTCAATTACAGTGGAATCAGTGCATTATTGGGAGATCTGAAGGGGGAAAAAGCAAGTTAGGGGATACAGATAGTCCTAAACTTACAACCACAATTAGAAACAGAATTTTGGGGCCAAGCAAGGTGGTCAAGTGAGCCACACTTAATTTTATGACCTTTTGCCATAGTCGTTCAGTAAATCACTGCAATTATTTGCAACTTGTTGCAAAGTGGCTGAATTTTGATCATGTGAGCATCGGGATGTTATGATGGTTGTAAGCGTGAGGACAGTTCATAAGTCGCTTTTTTCAGCACTGTTGTAAATTTTAACAGTTGTTAAATGAATGGCTATAAATCAAGGACTACCTGTATATTATCGTAGATAAACTATCTGTATGATTGCTAGGAGTATAAAAAGATTTGATGGCACATCATCCATCAATTAATCAACAACACAATCAGTGCAAAGACATTTGCAGTGCAAAAAACTGAAGAAAACTTAAATTGTTTTTCCATTCTCCTTGCATGAAGCCAAAAGTCTCAGTCTCTCTCTCTCCCCCCCCCCCCCCCCCGCAACGTTGGGAGCAGCGTTACAGAAGGAGTCAACCCATCCTGGGCTCTCTCGCAGCATAGATAGAAAGGGCGTTCACGGTAACTTCTACCAACTCCCAATCTAGACTCCTGGAGATTCAAAGATTCTTGGCCCATCAGAAAAATAGAACTGGTAATAAAACTAGCATTACCTTAACTGAAAGATGTATGCTGTTATTTAATTGCTCTTTTTTAAATCTTAAATAAGCTTAACTAATGATAGTTTGCCAGGGGTGGGATGCTACCGGTTCAGCCCAGTTCTATAGAACCGGTAGCTCTGAAGAACACTGAACTGGTTCGGTGTTTGGCCTACCCGCCCACCCGGGCTCTTGGCTGTCCTTTATTTCCTGCTTTTTCAACCACAGCAGCTTTCCGCAGCACAGCTGAGGTTGAAAAAGCAGGAAAGAAGAGGATTTACCAATGCTGCGCACCCTTGCACAGTGCTTGTCAGCTGTCCAAGCAGCACAGCTGAGGTTTTTATGAAATGGTCTACATGCGCACACAAAATGCACTCTCACCAGGGGTGGGATTCTACTGCCAGAGAACCGGCAAATCGTGCCACTGGCTGGCC